CCAAAATGGGACATCAGAGGTAGCCAATATTTAACTCCCTGGCAGGAAACATCTCTACTATGACTGAAGTATTTGAGAGGAGTGTAATGGACTTCTGGTATCTCCCATTTAGCACAAAATGAACTGTAGGAGAAAGGGCATCTCTGAATGTAGAGTGACTGCCCTTCAAGCAAGCTCTAGAAATACAGCTTGAAAAGCAGAGCCCTCAATAGGGTTGCTGTTCACTTACACTGACTAAATTGCATATTTTAAGGATTGTGATGCTGTTGGACTGGGGACAAATGTGTAAATACAAATTATTTGGGTTTATTCAGAAAACCCAGAAGGGCTTTTAACACAAGTGCTTCAGTGTTAAAGTGAGACAATTGTTAACTGCACAGACATGAAGGGGTTCACTCTTGAAATGGGTTTGATTTTAATAAAAAGCTCAGGATTTCCCTTGGTGAGGCATGTCTGGGATGTGCTGAATGTTCCTGTATTGATTCAGAGATCAAATGGCTTTTTTTTACTGTAAACATTTCTCTCAGTATGGCATCCCTTCTAAACCATCCAGTACAACAGTTTTTCCTCTTCAGTCCTAGCTTGGGTGGACAGATGTCTACAGGGAATGCTGCTCATCTTTGTGGTCTGTCATGTCTCTGATAACATGACTATGATGTGTCTTTGGGACTTCTTGAAAAGCAAGGATGATGTGCACAGTCACTTAAAATATAAACCAACTACTATTATGTTTAAGACAGGGGAAAGAAGAAATTATGCAAGACTAGATTGAAAACATGGGTTTCCCAAATTATCAAATACAGATATTTATCTTTCATTATGATAAATATCTAAAACCTGCAAAGTCTCTTGAAAGTTCTCAGCTTAAAGTATAGAAAAACTTTTTTCAGGAAGTGCAAGTGTGTGCTCCAGATAGCAAGAGATGGTTCTGATGTGCAGAAAGCAATTTAGGTCAACTCCTGGGGCAAGTCCTGCAATCAGGAGCTGTTCCTAGAGCACTGGCTGAAGTTCATGTGAAAATGGGACCTCTTGCCAGCTGAAAAGGAAGGACAACAATTTCCATGGAACTTTACCTGGACAGTGAGGACTTGAGAGCTAAGGAAGGAGTCATGCAGTGAAAAGACACGATCATGAACGAGGCTTTCCACCCAGACAGCCAAGTGGTAGGAGAGCAATGGGATCCTGATCCTGTCAGGCAAAGTCGTGGCTGTGTGTGCAGCAAGAGGAAGTCACAAACCCCAACCCAGGCCATACCACACAAATTCTGGCAGTGTAATTGTATTGGTAAAATATCAGAATAAAACACATGAGACTCCATTTTCTTCATGGTGGAAAAGGCTATTCTTTATTCATGTAACTCCTTTTTATACAGTTTTACAGACCTTGTGTGTGACTCCAATTGGTTAGGAGCTTTCGTGCCAATTTATTGGTTAATAAAAGGTATTTTACTTGTCAATCAAACACCTCTACTCTTAATTTGTTTACATATTTTCTTCACTGGTTCTCATGGGATAGATTTAATGTTTGTGCAGGTGCTACTGATTTTCACCCAGGATTAGGTTGTTATATTGATGAACTGTTCACACCAGGATTGCTTTCACATGGAAACTTGCAAACTGCTGCCTTGACAAGGCTAGCCACTGATACAACAGAGCAGAGCTGATTTTATGAGGCCTTTCTTTAATAATTTTTCCTACCTTACTGCACCAGTAAAATATTGCCATGGCAGCACAACCCCTGTATCAGCACCACTTAACTGAGCAAGGAGGTCCTTCTGCTGCTAGGTTGTTAATTGTGGGGCTGCACCTATTCCCTTACAGCGATGTTCAACTTCAGCATTGCCAGGGGTTTTTCTGGGATTGCTCCACTGGTAATGCCTTTTAGAGCCAAATCAAATCCTGAGGCACCAAAAAGAGAAATATTGGGGAGCTGCCTTCAGAAACTGCTTATTCCTCTTAGAAACACTTCTGCCTTTGAGCCATTTCTATGAAGAATGTTGAGATGAAGTCATTGTTTGTGCTTCAGAGCATAGCTGAGGTCAGGAAGAGGAGCATGGAGCCACCAGGGTGGTGAAGTCTAGGGACAGTTGGGTATCTTTGGTGTGGAACTTGTAATTAGTGTTGAAAATCGCACAAGAAGAAAGAAGAGAAGGAGCAAGTGGCAGATAATTGAACCTTTGGGGAGCCTACAGAGAAACAATGTTGGCATGGAGCTAAAAGTGATTTACAGAACAGAGTAACAGTTGTTAGATATCTAGAAGCAAAAACATAACAAGAAGCAGAGATGCTCAGAGTTGTATCTAGAGAGGGGTGAGCCAGGAGGAACAGGAGATGTGCATTAAGTGCTGCACTTGTATCAAAGGCTGCTTTTATCATGAGGGAGTATAGCCAAACAGAAAACAAACAGCAGCTCAAACAAAGCCAAAAAACACTCCTGTTGGCTCCTCTGGCAAAGAGTCAGTTTCTTTGAAGTGGGTATTCAGGGTAGGCTGGGAGAGATGTGTCCTGAAGCCAGCAATGTCCAATATTCAGGGATGGTCCATCAGGCAGGCAGCAGTGTCAGCTCCTGTCAGAGCCACCTCCACACAGCACGGGCCCTGCTCCTGTGTCACCACCTGCAGCTCACCTGCTGTCCCTGTCCCTGAAGGGCTGGCCCAGCACGAGCTGCCATACTGCACAGTGAGGAGGAGGGAGGTGGAGGTCTGGGCACGCACTCCTCTCACTTGGGATGCCTGAGACTACAAGACTGCTATAGACTTGAGATCAAAACAGTTACGTGAGGTGGTTTTGAACATCACTGCCAGAGTCTTATTCCTGAATATCTCTTCTTTCTGCAATGAATAAGTGATCCAAAATAAGTTATTTTTAACTATAGTGCAGAGCTGTTCAAGTTTATGACTTCACTTTTTATTACACATTCAGATTAATTTTATTCTTTAGTCCTGTTCTGCTGTAACTGTATTGTAACAGATAGTAGCACGCCACAGTAATTTCCTTAAGCTTTTTCTCCAGAGACAAGAGCTTTCCTGTATCACAGCACAGTTCCATCAGGAAGAAGTTTGTTTCTTTAGAAGTCAACAATGCTACTGTTTGCCTTTACTTTCTCTTTTCCCTTCCCTCCATTTTAGTACAATGTTCACTAGAGAAAAATGTGATTACTTATTTTAATATGCAACAAAGTGCAGTTGTTATTTTTGAAGCATAAGGTTGTTAGTTTAAGAAATGCAGACAACTTTCTGCAAAGAATACATAATTCAGTTCTCATTCTTTAAATGGTAAAGTTAAATTTAGATCTGTATTTATTACACACTTTTCTTAGTATTTTCTGCCTTTTTTGGAACACATATAAAAATTTGGTTTATTTCTCTCATGCTGGATAAACCTCAAACTAACACACCACCAAAAAACTTTAATAGTGTCATGCCCTCATGAGAGTTCTGCCTTGTAATAATTAAACTGCACACAGTTTCCCATTTTTAGTTGTGTGCATACTGGTGGTGTCTGGCTATTGGCAGCTCTTTCTGTTTACATTGGAGGAATTATCCCCCATTATTCCAGCTCGGATGATGGATGTGCATCTGTGGCCTCAAATGGGGTAGGAAGGAGGAACACAAGCATTGCATCCTCCAAAGCTTGTCCCAGGGAGGCTGGGGAAGTCCAAGGACAGAGCCACTCACCAGGCTCTCCCACCATGGGTTTGTTTCCAACTTGAAACACGTCTTTTCAGCTTTGCCATGGGGTGCAAACCCTCTGGCTGTGCTTTTCCTGAGCAAGAGAAACCTCTCCAGCACAGAGCTGAAGGGAGATGGCTCTGAAACTGCTGTGAGACATTCAAATAATGGAGACCTCTTGTCCCTTGGTCCATTCCAGTTGTGTGACAGGTGACAGCAATGTTTCTTTGTGCTCCTGGATGCTGGGAATGTGCTGTTCAGCATTTGGTGCCCGGGACTAGGGATGCTGCTCCAGCTCCCCAACCAGTGCCAGCAGTCTGACAGTGTCAGTCTGTCCCTGCTGGGACTCACACCACTATTCTGTGTCCCTCAATGTAATTTTAAAGGCTTTTGGCACATTTTTAAAGCTAAAGAACAGCAAGCATCCTTTTGCACAGCCTCACGCTTAAGCAGGCTACTTCTAAATTGGGGTCTCAAGAAAAAAAAACAAAAACCAAGAGTACCATCATTTCATTAATTTTAAAAGCCAACTTCAGCCTGAGAGTTTCTGTTCATGGTCCCACACTGCACAGGAATTGCATCTGTGCAGGAGTGGAGCTGGGAAGGAAAACAGTTGCCACCAATGACCCAACACACACATCACACCATTCCCTCTTTGGAAAGGGGTATCTCTGGACTAGCTCCCCAGTTGGACACATGATGTACGTGCCAGATGTTACCTCCCATTTTCCTTCACCGAGGAGGAATGCAGTTTGCAGCCTCCAAGACAGCTTGGTGATGGGAATGAAACCAACAGCATGGCAAGGACTCTGAGAAGTCACTCCAAAAGCGTGCTTGAAACATATAATGAAGCAGCAATTTCACCCAGGGAAGGTCCTGGTGTTTCTGTAAGCCTCCGACATCCCGTCCCTGCGGGGTCTGACGATGTAACATCGCATCCGCTCAGCTGCTTCAGAAAGCAGCTTTGGAGGCTGCACCAGCCCTCTTCCTCCTCACCGAGCAGTGCACTTCCAATTACATACACCTGTTGCACCAGGTGAACGACACGTTCAAATGGATTCAGCTGTGTGTAGTAACAGCGTTAATTTGAATCGTCCCCTCTCATTCTACTTCCCTCCCAGCAGAGCAGTGAGTTTACCGTCCCGATCCTCACCGCGGCATGCACCGCCGCCCCTGCAGGCGCGGAGAGCGGCTCTGAGGGGGGCACGGGGCTCCCTCCGCCCATGAGGCGGCTCTCCGCGGCCAGGGCGCTCTCCGGCGGCGCTGCCCGGGGCCTGGCCCCGCGGGGCGGAGGCAGGTGCGGGGGGCGGCGGCAGAGCGGGCCGGAGCTGCCCGGGGGCGGGCTCTGCGCGCACCTGGGCCCGCCCCGCGCCGCTGAGGGTGGGAGCGCCGGGGTCGTGAGGCCGGAGCCATGGCCCGGGGCGGCGGGGGCCCGGCGCCCTGAGCGGCGCCATGCGGGGCCGGCTGCTGGCGCGGCTGCGGCGCCGGAGGCAGCTGCGGCTGCTGCTGGCCCTGGGCGCGCTCGCCCTCGGGCTCTGGGCCGCCTACCTGGAGCTGGTGGCGGCGGCCGGCGGCGCGGCTGCCCCGGAGCGCAGTGAGTGATCCCGCGGGGCTGAAGGGAGGGAAGGGAGCGGGGGTCCCGTCCTTCGCAGCCCGGGCACCCCGCGATCCTCGGGAGCACGGCACGGGCTCCTTCCAGGCCGGCGGGGAGCGCGGGTGAGCGGAGCCCGGGGGTCGGAGCGGGGCTTTGGTCCCCGGGAGCGGCCGGGCGCTGGGGCTCCCCTTGCCTGCTTTTGGCCTTCCTTTTGGCTCTCAGCCCCCCTCTGTCGGGAGACCTAGCCAAATCTGACCGTGCTGGAGCTATAGAGCCCGGAGCCGCGGCTTTGAGCTGTCTCTCGTTCTTGGTGCGAGCCTGTAAGGCAGCAGAGATGCTTTGAGCGCGGCTTTGATGCGAGGAGCAGCGGCTGCGGAGCGCGGCCGGAGAGGCGCGCTGCCCGCCCGCTAACGGGCTCGCCTCGTGCGGGCTCTGGGAGAGCAGCGGGGCTCGGGAAAAGGGCAACGAGCTGCGCTTTGCTTTCTGAGGCAGAGGAAAATTCCGTCAGTGTCCTGTGGCTTTTTGCGCTTCTCTTTTTTTGAGTCACAGAAAAGTTTCGAATGGGTCACGGTTTTGTAAAAGCCTGTGATGTTGCTGCTGTTTTTTAGACAGCATCAATACTTGGTACTAATCTAATTTGAAAGTGTGTTCAACTACATGTTAGCGTTTAACTTTACAATATATTGATCCTTTCATTACGTGTTATAAACCTCACAATTTTTAGTCCCACGAATCAGGCTTGGTTTCATTCTTAAAGCTTTGGACTGTGGCTGTGGAAGGAGCACCGGGAATGTCTACTCCCACAAAGTCCATTACAGATCTTCAGCTTGTATATTTGTTCTGTATTATGCATGATATTAAGGTTAAAAACACATATTTATTGTTCCAGCAGTGTAACAGGTCTGATTTCTTTGGCTAGGATAAATCCTCTAGTAGTAATCTCTTTTTATGCTTGGTGGAATGAGAAGATGAATTGCCCTGTGAGTCTATTTTGCATTACATCTTTCATGCACTCTCACCATGCCTTTTACTGTATATTACTTTGGCTAAACCCCACCAAAAATGCTTAGAGAAGATTTGTACAGGTGGGCAGAGGGTTTGTTAGAGACAAGGGAGAAAACAACTGAGAAGTGTTTAAAATAGCCCCTCTCTCCTCATAACCATTGAGTCAGGTGTTTGGAGATGTACAGCTGATGGTCCTTTCACTGCCAGCAATGCAAAGGGAGAAGGAGGGTGTGGGAGAAATGGACTGAGAGCATGAGGACAGCAGAGATGCACAGGAGAAAACAACTTTCTTAGTGAATTGGGTTATTCCTCTTTGCTTTAAAACAGGGTTATTTTTACATCTCTGTTACAAAAGTCATTCTGTTTTAAGACTGAAACTGGAAACAGTGAGATGACTGCAGTTACTACCAACTAAAACAGAACATGAGCAAAATAATTGCATTATATTAAAGTTCAGTTATATAAAATTCCAGATTCTCTCAAATCCACCAGAGACGTTGCTGCTCATTGCAAACAGAAAGTATTTAAATGCTGCTGGAAAGGGTGGGAGGGTAAAATCCTCTGGCAGGCAGTTCCTCATGGCTCAGCATCACAGGGGGCTGTGGTCACACTGGGCACTTGGTGTCATGTTTTCTTGGCCTTGTAGCCAGAATCCTGGAACCTGCTAACAGGAGGAAGGTTAATCTGTGACCTTCCCCACCCTTCCTCTTGCCCTACTGCCTCTAAAAGCCTGTTTTGTTTTAAGGGAAATCAGAAATCTGAGCAGAAGACAAATAGTATTTGTTTTCTTTTGGCTGTTAAAACTAAGTAATATTTTCTTCTTTGGGGAGAGGGACGGCTGTGTTTGTGGCTCCATGTGGTGACTCTTTCCAGGATCCCAGGAAGCTGAGGGGGGGAGTGACTCTGAAGCAATTAATAGTTTTTGCCCTGTTTCTGCCTTGTTTTCTGTTGCATGTCCCAGGTGGGAGCCCTGTTGTAAGTCACTCCTGGGACCGACCAAGAGCTGCCACACCAACTTAGCTGATGCAACAGCCTTCCCAGTTATTAATGATAAAATACAAAAGCTCTTTATTGGGCAATTTTTCTAGACAAAAGGCTAAAATGCTCCTCCACTGGGGCCAGAAAGATGAAAAGCTGTTGGGCTTGAAAGATCTACAGGAGATCACTGTTTCCATCTCCTGTGCCTGTAATGGAGTTTCTTCTTGCCTTCCTAAAAGGCATTATAGTACAGCCTGTGTATGGAAAGCCAAGTTTGTTTTTCTCTTTCCAGAGAAGTGAGTCTCCCTCTTGCAAAGTTGTAAGGGCTCAGAGAAAATATTACTCTTCCTCTCAGCCCTGTATGAGATGGAGCACAAGCCCCTCTGGTGCTCCCACACCATTCCTGCTCTCAAGTCTGTGTCTGAGAGCAAGTCTTCAGGCATGGTGGATCCTCCTGAGCCTTGTGCTCCTCTCCTCCTCTTACCCCCAGGTCAGAGTGTGCTGGAGAGAGCACATGTCAGATGCCCAGGGATGGGTGTTTGAGTAAGTGATGCTTAAAAATTGGGGCCTTGGCTGTCCTCTCTTGAGGTGTTTGCAGCTCTGCTGTGCAGCAAAGTCAAGCATACAAAATGGTTTGGATAAAATGGAATGAGTAGCTTAGGAGAATATCCTGTAATCATCAGTATCCATTGGCATTTATGATGCTTCATCACCATGTGCTGGGAGGTCTCTGGCATGAAGAAGACTTTGCTGTAATGCTAAAGTCAAAGGTGGTGAGGGATCAGCCTGAGGTGCAAAACTCGTGCCTGGTGTACACCATGGCTTGGGATTTCTGTGTGCCAAAGTTGATCGGGAAAGTTGAGCTTTCAGGGAGGTTGGGATGGGCTGGACAGGCACGGAGGACAGTATGGGCTCTTGTGAGTGATGACTTTCCTTTGAAGGTGATGCTGAAATGAGAAGTTGGTCAGGTAAAGGAAAATAGCTTGTTTTTTTCCTTGTGATGTGAGTGTATTAAGGTGATACTCTTACATATTCTTTCCAGGGAGCCTTGTTGGCAAGACTGCTCATGGGTAGGAGGGTGTTTCTGTTGTTGTGGGGTTTGCCTTCTGGTTAATTTTTTTTTTTTTTTAATTGAGCATGTTTGGCTGGTTTGCTGCTCAATAGGTGTTTATAGGAATCTTAAACATGTTTACAGCTGAGTGAAGAGAAACAGGTTGCTGTGAGCTAAGATGGGCACAGTCTCCTCACGTGGAATGCAGCCTGTTGTTGTTCAAAACAAGTTGTAACAGGCAGGACACTGCCTCCCTGCCAGGAAACCCAGAGACAGTCTATTTACTCCTGCTGCTGACAGTCACTAACCTCTCCAGAGTGGGCTCTCCACTAGGAATGTTTTCCTCATCTTTATGAGCTGCTACACAGCACACTTTGCTCCTGCTGGAGATGAGGAAACTTTATTGTTTAAAGGGTGAATGAGGTGTTGGGGAGGGAGAAAACACAGAGGTCCAGAGAGCGAGTCCTGCATCCTGCCTTTACTGCTGTAATGCAGGGCAGGGAGAGGTCTTTGCTCAGGGAAAACCCTCATCCCAAAACACTGTCACTTCCCTAGCTGCTGCAGTGCTGTTTGGATGGAAGAAGTGGTGAGTCTGACAACTCCTCCTGCTCCCTGTTTTTCTCTTCAGTGCCCAGCAGTGCTTCATCTTGCCCACCAGTTCAGAAAGGTATGACTGAGGGAGCGAGGCTGGGTCAGTGGGCTGTGTTTGCAGGCAGGATGTGCAACAATCCCACTTTGCTCTAAAATCTTGTGTCAGCATGGTGAAAACAACCCCATCCCTGAAGAAACTTGGAGGTGAGGTCATTCCCAGCCATTGCTGTGCAGAATCTGGTTTTTTTCTGCTGCAAAGACCATGGTATTTCAGGAGTCTATAAATCATTTGCACTGATTTTTTTTTTTTTTTTACTGCAGGCATGTGTGTTGCACTGAGCCAGGCACAGGGAAGGTGTTCAGGATCAGGTTAGAATCCTGGGAGGTGCAGCTGGTAGGAACAAAGAGTTGGGAGCCCCTTTCTTAACTTGTCCTTCCCAGCTGCTTCGACCTACTCCCGTTCCTCCACACTGGATTGTTGTGAGTAAATAACACTGGGGGTGTGTTATCTTCCTATCTTGGATTGTGGTAGTGGTTTGTGTCTCTTAGGTTTTCAGACTGTTGCTTTGCTAGCTCAGGAGTGCACATTCCCACCCTCTGAAGCAGAAAATAGGAGGGGTTCAGAAAAAAACATGTACAAATAAAGAAGTCCTTATGGCAAGACTTCCAACTCCCCAGTATGCACATCTTCAGTATCCCTTTGCTTTCCCAGAACACTGGCTTCTTGTGCCTGCACCATGTAATCTTCAGGCATCCAGGCCACTAAAAAGCAGTGCAAGTTTCCCAGGTATTGATGTGAAAGGGCAGGTGAAGAGAAGAGTGTCTGCCAGCAAGGTGAAGTTGGACATTTAATGTAATGTATAGTATTGATGTGAAAGGGCAGGTGAACGTGTTTGTAAGAGAAGAGTGTCTGCCAGCAAGGTGAAGTTGGACATTTAATGTAATGTATCAACTTCCTCTCTCTCCTCTGTGCACAGACACCCTAAGGAGCACACCTACACCTGCAGGTTCCTTCACATGCTCACGGGCTGGCTCTTGCAATCCCTCACACGCAAGCTGGCCTGCCTGGGCACGCACGGTATCGCTCTCTTGCAGAGCTAATTACCCCCAAGGTTCGTTAGTGCTTGTGGGGAGAAATGGGGCCATGTGGTGTCTGAAGTATGTATTTTCTCCCTCTGCAAGCTGTTAAGCCAGGTATCCCCCTCAAAGCAAACCCTCCTGGAGGGAGTGTGTGTGCCATGAAGCCTGCATGTGGTGTTTCTGTGCTTAGAAGGACACTTGTGAGGCAGCACCATTCCCAAAGCACATTGTGGGCCTGTAGCTGTGGGGAGAGGGATCAGGGGTGCTGCCAGTGAGTCAGGGTGACCAGAGGAGC